GAAAGGCAAGTTAGAGTTCTGTCAATTGGTCTGAAACGCTCATTGTCACCGGGCCATCTTTAATGTTGAGTCCTGAGTTTCAGTTATCCACAGAACGTCAGTACAATTAAAAGTATCTTACCTGTCAGGCCTTCTGAATACAGATGCCAATGTGTGGGATGAATTTTTGCTCGAAGAAGACCGCTGCAACAGCAGAATTCACAGCAGGATCTGCAAATGAGATGAACGACAGAAGCTATTTATCTTACTGTGCTTGAAAATAACAAGCAGATAAATGTGCTTAATCTAAAACCATCTGATGCCCGGTTATACTGACATGGATGAACATATTGTGGCATACGCTGACTTGAGAAGCTCCTGGACAATCGGGAGACATTTGACCATATGTACCGCCTCAAACCCACACTAACTCTACTGCCTAATGCTTTTCCTAGGCAAACTACATTCTTCTCCTGCTGTCTCATTAAACCGTTGTATCTTCCGGCTCAGCAACTGAACTATACTGTTATGCCATCTGTAAGAAATGCAGCTTCAGCCTTAGGCTGGGTTGGGTTAATAAGCGATCTAAACCACAACAGACACTTTTATTCAGCATTTATCTTGTCTACATAAAAGAACCATGGCACCTGGCCCAAGAGCATATTTTTACTTTGTGGCCTAATGCTTCCTAGAATAAGATGTTTAATTTAATTGGCCTTGTAATGAGCCGTTTTAAAAGTTTAAAAGATGATGGAGCTGATTATCTGGATATTTGGGCATGTTTTATGGTGGGTCATATGGTGCAGAGATGTTTTTCAGTTTGGAAGCCCCTGAGGTAAAGCCTGTTTACCACAAATTGGCCTTATAAAGACAGCAGGTGAAATTCTCCTGAGAAATACAGATAAGGTGTAATGTTTTCCATAAGGTTATCTCCCATGTCAAGAGCTAACTAGCTAGCATTCCCTTCACCACCGTCAATCTTGCGCGATTATGCTGGGTGGGCTCTGTGCACAGCTTGCCTTATGCATCAGGGGCGAGGAACTGTTTGAGGCAAGAATATGAAATGAGATCATTATGGAGAGAAACAACTCCACGGCAAATATCTATTTCAATCAGTGGCTAGATGCGGAGGTTATCAATCAAAAACCACCATCATGGGTACTGCTTACTTCCAATTGAGTGCCATTTTCCAACGGAGGGCTGAAAATGAATATATTTGCAATGCTTGCTTATGGATTAGAGTATTCCTCAAACCTCAGGATTATGAAGATTAAAGTACATTGCAATGAGAGAGACATTCAATTGCATGCCAGCATTCCCACTCAATATGGAGGATTGATGGTTTCCTCGAGTGCCGGGATTTACATATTCTACTGTTAAGAGTGATCGACTTCCTTTGCAACCGGTCACATTATTATAAGACTGGAAATGAAAGATGGAGATGAAGCCACAAAGTCAGCATCCGTTCAACACCCACCCAATTTATTAGGATGAACAAAGAATTCAAAAAATTCAAGCCCCCATTTTTTCCCGTAGAGTCTTTGGGATGATGAGAGGAAGAAATGTCTGAAGGTTGGTTTAATAAGACAGCAGAGAGGACTGTGGGTATTCAGCCTGATCTTATGAGAATGTGTAGGTAATGTTTACATGTACACTACCATTCAATTTTTTATTATTTTTTTTAAAGAAATTCATAATTTTATTTGGCAAATATGCATTGAATTCAAAAATGAAAAGGAAAACATTTGAAAAGAATCCTGAAAAAAATGTATATTAAGCATCACGACTACTTTGATGATTCAATATTGATGATAAGAAGAAATACTAAGCACAAAATTGGCATATTAGAATCATTTCTGAAGGATCATGTGACACTGAAAACTGGAGTAATGACTGCTGAAAATTCAGCTTTGCCATCACAGGAATAAATGACATTTGACATTGAAATAATATTTAAAAATATTAATGGTTTTATGGTACTGATCAAATAAATGCAGCATTGGTGAGCATAAGATAATTTTGGAAACATAATCAGTTATATTCGATTAATAACCTCACCTCTACCTGAACCTAACAACAATATAAAAAAGCAGAAAAATGTACAGTGACATTAACTGTAGTCACAAAATGCTACTATAAACCTATTTCTTTTTAAATACATACATTTCCTACAATATTCTACAAACCTAAAATTATTCATAAAAAATCTGTACATCTCTAAAGCAGTTCATATATGCAATGATTACTTTTCAGAAGCAGTAATGCATTAAATTATTTAGCCTTCATTGTCTATAAGACATTTTATATTTATGTGATTTATGTGTATTGCAACCACACCACACCACAAATATCTATGAATCCTTATGAGATCATGTTGGGCCACAGGAAGTGAGAGTCTATTTCTGTAGCTGTGGAGTTGATGGTTGACTCTGGAAGCTGTGAGCAGGTCATCAGTGCAGGGCTCTCAGTGGCTTTAAGGCCTTTAGAGGGCTTTCTGAGGCAGACAGGGAATGCCTGAGATTGATTCAGTACAGAAAGACTGCCCACCACGAGAGGATAAGTCATAGAAGAGACCCATAAGCCTACTATGCTCAGGAGAATATAGCCTACTCACCCCCGTCTACTCATATCCACTCAACCTAAATATACTTGTTTCTTCTCTGGATCAACCATGTGACAGTCACAGAGGTCATAGCTGGCATCTTTCTCTTGCCTTTTTTTGTTATACGAACAGATAATGAAAGGTCTTTCCTTTCTTACAATTCCTGAGGTGGGCGTTAGAACCGAAATGTGCATTCTTGTAAATGACTTGTGAACATTCTTTTCTTTTTTTTTTCTTCTTCCCACCCACGAGCAAGAGTAATCCACCATGTGAGGATTTGCAGAGCTGGTAGAGAGAGTGCAAAAGAGAGAGCAAGCCACATGGAAATCAAGGAGGATTAATTAGAGCACAGACCTAATGAGGATCCTCACAGGAGCGGACATTATTGAAGGAGCAAATGTGTTTAGCTACTTTACAAAAGAATAGAAGGGAGGAAGGAAAAGGGAAAAGAAAAAGAAGTGGAAGATGTAGAATGAAAAAGAAATAAGAAGAGGAAAAAGCATTTCGTGATGAGTTCCTCTGTGTTCTCACTAATTCTCACTACTACTACTAATAATATTATTAATAATAATAAAAAAATGTCTTGTTATTATTATATATTAAATTATTATATAAATTACATAAGCGCTGTTCCATGAATCATCCACAAATCGTGTCGCAGCCACGTGAACACAGCCCTGCTCATATTCAGACCAACAGCACGATGTCACAGTCTTCAGTGGGTATGCCCAGGATGGCCACCAGATGACACTGTTTTCTGTGAGCACATGGCTTGTGCTGTGTTTGTTTGGTGCCATGTGCTCTCTCCTGTCTATTGTCTTGCCCCGCCCATCTTGTTACCTCATTATTGTTTAAGTTGCTCCACCTGTGTCTCCCTCGTTAGCCTCCTTGTTTGGTTTCCCATTTATTCTCCTGGTGTCTGTAAGCCTGGGCTGATCCGTCGTTTTTCATTGTGTGTGTTATTTCTGCATGTAGTGCAGTTCCTAGCCTGCCTGTCTGTTTTTCCCCCTCGGGGTTGTTTTAGTTTGTTTTTGTTTAATGTTATTATTAAAAGAGAGAACCATTCATCCTGCACTTGAGTCCTCGCTTCATCTCTCCACACGCACCGTGACACACGACTGCTTTTATACAACAAATGTTTAAGAAACAATAGGTTACTATTGAATAACCTACTTTTTACACTCGATATTGTCTATTTTTGTTCCGCCTTTACTCTTTGCGTGTCTCCGAGCACCATTTTTGCAGTGGCGTTACTGAATGAATCAACATTTTTGAAGGATCCATTAGGTGAATGACTCAAATGACTCATTCATAAAGACGTACTCGTCGCCACCTAGAGGTAATGATATAACTTGCAAAAATAAGTATCACTGAAAAATTGCACAGATTTAAAGAAGAGTAACACAAATAGTAGGCTATAAATAAATAGATAGATACATAAATACATACATAAATAAATACATGTGCCTGTGAGTTTGTTTTGTGTCTCTAGGTGTTTGCTCCGATGAGATGGTCCTCACTGCAGAACACAAGATCCAGGGGTCGAGGTTGGATCCAGATCCAACTACTCCCACCTTACATATACCTAAACCTACCCGTCTCTACCCCCTTATCCCTAAACCCACCCATCTCCTCCCCTAAACCTACCATCTCCACCCCCTAGATGTGGATCCAACCCCACCCCCTGGATCTTTGTTCTGCAGTGAGGGGCTACTGGCTCAGATTCGGTTTTCTGTCAACATGACTCAGCCTCCTCTTGCGGACTAGAGTTCCCTCTATGCTTCCCTTTATGCTTTGTGTAACTATCATTCACCAATTAGGAATGAGTGTGTTTTTGTTGGTCTGTTTTTTTTTTTTCTCCTTCTCAGCTTCTCTGCCACTTTCATCTTTTTCCATCTTTTGTTCCTAGCACTTATACAAATTCCCGCTCGTTATCCCATCAAAGCTTAGCCACCTTTGTGTTTCCATTACCGAGCAATAGATGAGTAAGAAAACACTCGCCCCCTCGTCTGCCTGGAGAAATTAAAAAAATAAACGATTAAACACATTTGGCTGATTTTTGGCACGGTTCACTCCTCCATTTGACTAGTTTCAAACTGAAAAACACTTAGCAGTTATTATTGCTTTTTACTATTTCTGAGCGCTGTTGTGTTATAGTGTTGTTAGAGAAAGCCTACACCTGCAGTCAGCTGAGAGTTTGCAGAACATTAATGTAATTGTCTGCAGAACCTTTTTCGTCTTTAAACTGCATTAGTAACTTGAGAGTAACACTGTGGTTGTCTTTAAGTAGAGTCTAACTCCATTTACAGTGCAATGCAAGGTACGTGTTTAGTTGAAGCAAGCAGAATATTACACCTCCATTGTGTATTTATTTACAGTGTAGCAGTCCCTGTTTGATGTAAATAGGAATGATTTTGTTTTAGCTCAGCTGAAAAAATCTGCTTTTCACTATGTGGTGCATTGAGAGACAAACTAATTGGACTAAAATCAGTAAAAGGTCCCCTAATAAAAACTGAAGCATTTGTGTTAGAAAGCTTGCCGAGGTAAATTAAGTGAAATATGTTCATCTGAAACACACAAGTGTGCATGTAAAGAAAAAAGGAATCTAACGACCCATTTCCTGGTGGTT